CGCCTTTGCTCGCCGTTTGGGCAAGAGCCAGGCATTGTCTACCGTCTCCAACGCCATGCCGACATTTGACATGATTGGCCAGTTCCGCGCGCTGCCGGGAGCGGTCGAGCGACCCCCTTCCGAGCTGCTGCGGATTCGGCCAGATGCGCCGCTGACGTCGCACATCGACGACCACGCGTGCCGCGGCTATGCACGACTGCTTGATGAGTGCGCACTCGAGCTGCTGCCGAGTGCTACGTCCACACCGATGGCACCGGCACCGTCACCGACGGAGGCGGCGGTGGTGGTGATGTCGGCGGCGGCAGCGGCGGCAGCGGCGGCAGCGGCAACAGCAGCGTTGGCGGAGACAGAGGCGCGGACGGCGGGGACGGCGACGGCGTCTACGTCTATCGAGGCTCCTTTCCCGACGGCGCAGCAGGAGCTGGCGCAGGCGCTCGAGGCGTCGGAAGGACGGTCGCAGGTGGCTGAAGATCGTGACCTGGCGCACGGCATCGAAGAGTCGCTTCGAACCGACGGCCCGTCCCCCTTCGCTTCGGCCGCCGCCGCCGTACAAGGCGAGGCGGGCTCAATGGGCTCCTCCATGTCAGTTTCAGCGGCCGAGTCAGCGTCGACGGTGCAAGCATCCCCGATGAACTCTCCTCGAGGGCGGGCAATGGTGGCGCTTCTCGAGGACGCTAAGCTCACCGCTTATGCGAGTGTGCTGCACGATGCCGGATATTATGAGCTGACTGATCTCAGAGAGGCCGACGACGCAGACCTCGGCGAGCTCGGAGTGGGACTCAAGAAACCCGAGATCAAAAGATTGCGACGCTATCTCGAGAAACAAGTCTGAAATTGTGGTGGTCCGAGCACCTCTCCTGCGACCTGGGCCGTAGCCCGTTCCCGACTGTACCGTATATTTACCGTGTAAATGCATGAGCATGTGTGTACTGTACGGCTCTACGTGTGTAGGCTGCAAGCAGTTACGAGTAGATTTTTTTACTGATTACGCATCATCCCCCCCCACCCCGCCCTCGACTCAAGGGGCTGCCTTCCACCGTCGCTGCTCAGGCCGGGGGAGGGGGGGAGACCTCCTGTTCCTCGCGGAACGGGAGTAGGCCCCTCCTTGCCCGGTCTGCGATGCAGGGCGGTGGCCGTGCCATCTTCGCTTCACAAAGACCACGCCGCAATCGTCGCCGGCGCGCGACGCGTTCCCGTAGGCCGGACTGTCCTGGTCGAGAGTGTGTGCCGCCAAGGCGGGGCTACTCGGGGACAGTGCCGACGGGACGCGGCTCGAGAGACGACTCCCGCGAAAGCACGGCTGGCATCCGTGGCGTGGGGCTCGCCTTCGAAAAGTCGGGCATGGCTCTCCCCGCAACTCTATCGCTAACACGCGCGCACCACCGAGACTGTGGTGGGCGCGCTGCGGTCGCACGTCTACCTCCGTCATAGTGCCACGACGTGCGGCCTAGAATTAGCACACGCGCCTCTGCTTGCATACACTCATACATTGGATTGTCATCGCCTGTGAGTGCGAGATAGGGCTAGCAGTAGGCAGCTAGCCTCTGAGGAGGGCGTCCATAGACACCTCACTAGACCCCACACACGGTCTCGCCCGTGCCTCGCCGGCCGGAGAGATTGCTGGAGGTAGAGCAAGGTAGCCTGCTCTAGCCTCGCATGTCACTTCCTGTTGTCTGTTGTTTGTTGTGCCCTTGTTTGTTCTCTTGGCACCTTGGAGTGCTGGGGGGGGCGACAGGGAGGATATGGCCTTGAGTTATGTGTACGCCTACTCAGGGTGTGTGGCAGCCCGCTGGCTGTGTGTCTTGTGAGCCTGTTTGTGTCTGTGTGTCGCTCGTGCGTGTCGTCATCATCTGTCCAGCGTCCACGCATACCGCGTTGGTGTCCAGTCCGAGCCTGGCTGTTCTTCACCTTTCTACCTACCTACCTACCTGGAGCGCAGAGCTAACCCTCGGGGACCCGTGTATACTTTACGGCCCTTTCCCTGCGAACGCGCACCCCCGGGGCTAGGGCTCTCTTGCCCGTAACCCGATGCCAATCATCCGGCCCGCTGGGTGCGCTTCTGAGCTCCCTGCCGCCTGGCCCTGGATGTGCGGTTAATGACTGCACTCCAAGTGCTCCAAGTGCTCCACTCACAGCAGACAGGCTCGACACAGGTGCGAACTGGCGCGTGCTAGCACAATCACAGATAGATAGATAGATAGGACGGCGAAACACAGTCCGACCAACGACTGGGACACCAACGCGGTATGGGTGGACGCAAGACGGGCGATGACGGTCACATACAGGAGCGACACACAGAACCACAAGACAAGACACTCAGCCAACGGGGCGGCTGCCACACATCCTGAGCGAACTTCCCTAGTCACCCGCGGCCGGACTCCATCCGGCACGCGTCGCTGGGCGCTCAGAGCCGCGTCCCCTGCTCGCCACCCCGACGCCCAAGGCGCCCGAGCGAACGACAGGCGGCACGCGAAGACTGATTGCAATCCCGCCGACCGCCAGGCCGCGGGATGATGCGTGCGTGGTCTTGTAGTGGGTCTCGGAAGCTCCCCTCTCGGGCTAGGAGCCAGCCCCTCTCCCTTGCCCCCTGAACACCGTGTCCGAGTCGAGGCGTGTGCTTGCCGGTCGACGGCCGCGCGCGGTTGGCATTGTGACGAAGGTTGCGCGCGGCCGCGGCGCGCCCGCCATGGTTTGGCGCGGCGCGCCTACCAGCGGCAGTTGTCGAGGCACGGGAACACTTACCCGGGGTCATCCTCTGAGCCTGGTCGTCGGCGCCGCGATGCCACGGCGGCGCATTCGACGTCGTCGGCGCGCTGCCCCGCGGTGAGCCCCGCCGCTCGTAGCGACGGCCGCAGGTCGGCCCGGTGCAGCGCGCCCTGGCCGCAGACTGAAGAACGGCCACGAGGGGTGTGTGATGTGCGGTGCGGGGTGTGAGGGGGCAGCGTCTTTGTGTGTGCGCGCGCGCGCCGCTGCCGCTTGTGGTTTGAACTGCCCGTTGTCCCTGCCCTCTCCTCTCGGGGATTGAACTGGCCCTGTGCGAGAGAGGAAGATGGGAGGTCGGCCTTGAGAGCTTACGGGTGGTCTCACCGCGCCAGAGGCTCTGCCTCTCCTCTCGGGGATTCAACTGGGGGATAGGGGCGGGGATCCTCCCTCTTCCCGCCGTCGATGCCGGGGCTCAACCAATCCGGAGAGGTCGTTACCATTCCTCCATACATCCTCCCAGCTTCATCGGCGGGCGCCTGGGAGTGTGTCGTCAACTGGCCGGTGGTCTTTCAGTGTGGTGGGGTGGGTTTCGTGACCGTTCAGCGTCGATGATCACAGGCACACCACCGGAACCGCCTAAGCGACTCCGCTAAGAACGGCAAACAATGCACTTAGCTCCGTGCACAATGCCGCTCTCCCCGCACGCTAGCTAGCTCGTTCACCGTCTGCCACACGCCACGGCGACATGGAGAACGACAGACAAGCGGTAAGAATTGTGCGACAAAAAAGCTCAATACGCACAGCACTGATATTGGCACTGATGCATAAGCAGGGATTTTTAAGAATACCTCTTAGCCCAATGCGCAATCCCTCTCTCACACGAATGGGGGTTTTATAAGCTAGGTTTTTCGCTGTCTGTGAGCTAGGTTACTGTGGGTCTCACTGATAAATCGGGTCGTTTGGCCGCACTCAGAGACGCCGGCAACGTATGTGACACCCGCGTGTGAGGACCTCCTCGCTCGTTGGCGCCTCGCCGCCGCCCCCCCTCTCGCCGCCGCTCCGCTCGTGGCCGCCCCATCCCCTGTCAATTCCGCCGCCTCCCCTGTCAATCCCCCGCACCACCGCCGCCACCGCCTCGCGCGTTTAGCGGGGGGTCAAAACTTAAAAGGAGGACAGCCTATACAAAGAAAAGAAACGCAAGGTCGAAGGTGCCACCTTATCAACCACAACGCAAAAGGCCCGCGCGTGCTGCGCGGGCCCGGCGAGCGACTAGCGAGCCAGCCTGCTAGTACTATGTATAGTTAGTACGGACGGATCCGAAGGGGTCGCACGCGGGAGGGAGCGGGCGTGCGTCCGTCCGAGCGAGCGAGCGAGGGAGGGAGGGGCTTGCTTGTCAAAACACCGTCCAATTCTCGAACACACTATAGTTAGTACGGATTCGAGGGAGGGGCCGCAAGATGCGCCTGCCTCCGACAGCCGACCGACTGATGACTGTCGACGGACCAGATCTATCTAGCTAGGGCTTCGCCAAGGGCATCGAGCGGATCGCCCGGCGGTGCAATCTGACGGTGTAGGGCCTAGCGCGGTCCTCTCGGTGCCGACGAGGAGCAGGGCGCAAGTGTACGTATGTGGCCTCTGCGTGCTAGCCATCTCTTCGCCCACACCTCACCATCTCGCAAAACCAGGTCCAACGGATGGGCGACGCACAAGGCACAACCTCGATCCTCGTGATAGATGTCCCTCTTCGTTCGACGTCGGCGGCGGTGGCGGGATGAATGGAGTGAAGAAGAAGAATAAAAGATGAGGGCCGAGCTTGTATGGTCGGGAGGGAGTCGCATGCAGGGGCCAGTAGTGGCCCTGGCCGGGGCACAGTTGTGGTAGGACGTGTGGAAGGACCCTTGTCGTTGTGGCTTGGAGTCGCCAAAGGAACTTTCAAACGTGTGGGTGCCTTGGGAGGAGGCTTGGCCTCGGGTCGCTTCCATTGCCTGGCGCGTTACGAAATATGCAGTCCAGTGCAGACGCCATGGCACATGGGAAGGCGAGAGACACGTGTGGGGGAAGAAACCCCGATTGTCGGAATCCAGAGAGCAGAGTGAGAGATCCTCTGACTCGTGCGTCGTGGTGCTGGCGGTACGTCAGTGATACGTAGTGAGCCCTTCATACCGTATAATAACACGTAGAAGATCGTTCGAGACTTAATCAATTTCAGGTCGCTTTTACGGCTTCGTAAATCGTACTGTGCAAGAAAACCGCGCGCCCCCCGCGCGCATCACACTGCACGCACCGCCCGCGGCCGCGAGCAGAAAGACAGATTTTCTGTTCGATCTCTGTCCTGGTGTTGTGGTGACGCCAAGACCCGTGTGCCGTCAAACTCCAAAAGGCCAAAACACAGGCGAGGGCAGTTCAACGGCTCGGCTCGGCGTTGCTTGCGCGCCTCTCAGTCACCGGCACAGTGCCGGTCCCGTGACCCGTCGCTCGGCTCGCGCGACGCGCCCCACGACGTTCCGCCGTACGCGCTCGCGAGTCGATACATGTGTCCAATTTTGGACCGGTGGGCGCCCTCGGCCCCAGCGCTGATCTCTGGTAGGGTGTCTTCACTCCATCTGACGCAGCGTCGTCCACTCTTGCGCAATCTCATCGAGCGCCGTCCACTTGCAGTACGGCGCATCCGGCGCGCTCAGGTTCTGCGTCTCGCCGCGGTTGACGAGTCGGAGGACCTCGCCGGTCAGGCGATTGACATTCTCGAGCTTCTTCACCAATTCGAGCTGCAGGCCTGTGTGCTCCGAGTCCGTCTCATCAAACAGGGCGCGCCTTTTCTTGTCAAACGAGAGAGCATTGCCGTAGAGCTGTTTCACGTACGCCAGCCGGTCCTGCTCCACGCGTTCCTCGAATCCCTTGCACTCAGCCTCGAGCTCCGCGGTTTTCGCAGCCGCCTCCTGGGTCTGCTCTTTCAGGGCCTCGAGCACCAGCTGCTGCTCCTTCTCCGACCGTTTGTCAGCGGCGTGGAAGTGCGAGATCTGGGCCTCGATCTCCCTCCTTTCTGCGGCGGAGGGGCCTCTGGCGGTCAGTGCAGTGGCGTCAGATGCGCGGCGCCGGCCCACGCGTGCACGCGCCGTTCTCGAGCTGCCGGATGCGCCCGCCTGCGTCGTCGACGCGGCGGTGGGCGTGCTGCATGCGCTGCTGCTGCTCTTGGATCGCATGCTCGACTTGGCGGCTCATGTTTCCGAAGGACTCCAGCCGAAACGGCGACGGGGGGTCCATCTCCTGGATCATTTCTGGCTGTTGCTTGCGAGGGAGGGAGGGCTCGAGGCGAGTGGTGAGCCGGGCGAGGCCAGCGAAAGAGAAATTTACAAAAACTCCGTCGACAACACTGCTCGTGCAGCGCGGCCGCTCGCCAAGCCCCGTCGATGAGTGGTCAGATGGTTAGTGCCCGAGAGCGAGGGGTCCGGGGGGGAGCACAAATAGGACGCCCAGCCCTGCCCTCGTGCCGCCGAGTGCATATCCTATGCGAGAGAGATCCCCTGTGCCCTGTGCCCAGCCCTCTCCGCGCGGCGATGCGCCCTCCCCCCTCGCTTTTGCAAAATCCTGGTAAGGTGGGGACGTGTCTGTCCTCGACCCAGCCCTAGCTTGGGATGTCCGTTGTATTTATTTATTTATTTATTTATGCTCGTGCAGGTGGGGACCCTGTCCTCGTCCCATCCCTCGTTTGGCGTGTGTGTTTTCTTTCTTTCTTTCTTTACACTGGGCACGGGACTGGCGCGCACTGGCACTAACACAGGTACACCGCGAAAGAGAATTTTACAACGGAACTCTCTCGGCACACGCATTATTCACACAACAGGCAAAGCGCGGAAGAGAAAGCGGAGACGCAACAACCTCCTCCTTCGTCGTCCACCACACGCAGCAGATCTCCATGGCGGCGGTGGCGGGCGACGCCGACAACATCAACAAGCAGGCGCGCAATGAGCGTAAAGACTGGCTCAACTCCCCAGCGCGCGCCAATTGGGTCAAGAACAAGCAAGTGGCAAACGGCTTCTTACGCTCGGCCCCAGTGGGGGGCGCCCGCGCCGCCTAGCTCTGCGGACGCCCCCCCCGCACCCTTCATTCATGTAATCATGTAGTCCCCACAATCGCTGACGTGGGATCGCTTGTCATGTGAGAGACTGCGTTGTGTTCTTGTTTGCTATCCGCTTTCTCTTTCTTTCTGAGATTTTGGGGAAGGGCACAAGGGCCGCGGCCAAGGATATCCACTTCGACCACCGAAGCCGAGGAGGACACCCACCAAATTGTGAGACATACTGAGAGAGGCTCGTCCCGCCACGCCTCTTGAGTTTGCGCGGCCCAGGCCCGTGCCACGCGCCTCACGCAGCGGACACAGCACGCCGGCCGCCCACGGCGCTACAGCACCTAGGTGTCGCCACGCCACCATAGCACCACTCCTCACGCCGCTCGCTTCGTTCCGCAGACATGTCGTACGCCAAGCTTTCCATCGCCCTTTTGCTGGCATCCGCCGGCACTGTCCAAGCCCACGGCTTCCTCACTTCTCCGAATCGGCGCAACGGCGAGTACGGGGTCACGAACCCCGGCAGAGGTGATTGCGGCAAATCCCTGAGCAACCACATGAACAACAACGGCTGCCAAGGCGGCTCTGCGTTCGTGTGCTTCACGGAGTGTGCGAGTTGGGGGGAGCTCGACAGCGAGGATTGCAAGGAGTGCGTGAGAGAGATCACTGAGGCGACACAGCCAATCAAGCTGGGAATTATGACGGAACCAATCAACCCGCTTCCCCGCGTCGGCGTTTGCGGCGAGGCGTGGCTTAGTGACAAGTTCCAAAACTGGTGGTCCACCAGCGTGAACGAAGACAACGGCGAGCATTGGGAGATTACCAACATGCCCAAGGTCGGTGGTGGAAACATGATCGACTTGAAGATGCAAATCACGGCCTACCACCATGGGTGGTCCGAATTCCGCCTCTGTGAGTCTGATGGAGGGGCGGTGACGCAAGAGTGCTTCAACGAACATGTTCTCGAGATTGACCCCGTCCACGCCACGGAAACCTACGCCGGCAAGATGTCTAAACCCCCAGGGGATGGCGCGCGGCTGCCGACGGACCCGACCGACTACACGGCACTCTCGCCGCACACGCGTTGCGACGGGCCAACACAGGGCAAGAATGGCAATCTGATCTGGACGAAGTACCCGGAGGTGTTGGCCCCGGCGGGTGCTTGCTGCAATGATGGCGGGACCTGCTCGGACCCTGCGAGCAACACTGACCGCTGGGTTCTCCCCGCGATTAACGCCTCCATTCCCGTTGAGGGGCCCGGCACCGTCGTCCATAGCATGAACGGTCCGATTGAGATGAATGGCGTGTACACTGTGCGCCTCAAGATCCCCTCCACCGTGGATTGTGAGACCAAGACGTGCACGGTGCAGTGGCTGTACATGACCGGCAACACCGTCGACGGTTACCCCGAGACCTTCAAGAACTGCGCGGACTTCCGAGTGATCGAGGCAAGCGACACGCCGTCGCCATCACCGTCGCCTTCGCCGCAGCCTTCGCCGTCTGCACCGTCGCCCTCGCCCTCACCAGACGTGTCGCCCTCCCCGTCGCCATCACCGTCGCCTGACGTCTCGCCCTTGCCCTCGCCGCCACCTTCGGCGTCCCCCACGCCACCTCCGCCACGCTCCCCGGGCGGCGGCGGCCAGTCTTGCGGCGAGTGCGATTGCTCGCAGTGCGTGCCGACTCCTGCCTACTCGGCCCCGGAGTGGGGCTACGACATCTTCTGCGCAAATGCCAACTACGAGGCTTGCGCGGCTGGCGGGGCGTACTCTGACCGCTGCACGTGCGCGTCGGTCGACATGTTCCAGAACATGTTCCCAGACGCCTCGAGCCTGGACACCCTCACCAGCACGCCGTCGGCTCTGGTCTCGTGTCCCGAGTGCGTCACCAACGCGCAGGGGTCAAAGTCTTGCGCGCCGTGCTACGTCGCCAAAAAGTGGAAGGAGTTTGCCGGCGGACGCTTCGCGGCCGACTGCGTCAACGCCATGTCCGTCGCCCTTGGTGAGGGCATCATGCCGGCCAGTCCGACCATGTACATCACTGACTTCTGTTGTGGACCCGACGGGATGAACTGCCAGAGCTGCTGGGCAGGGCCCGGGGGCGGGCCGCCGCTCTCGCTCGAGGAGTTCCTCGTGCGCACCGACGTCTTCGACCTTGACCAGTCGCCGTACGACGGGCAGGACACGCTGGGTCCGTGGCAAACGCTGACGGCGGTGGTGAAGGCTGAAGATCTCGACGTCCGCATCTCCGAGGCGGTCGGGTATGTCGAGTCGTGCTGCATGTCGGGTGTCGTCACCGTTCAGCCCCCGCCCAACTCCGAGGCGCGCTGGTGCGGAGTCGCCCCGTACCCCGCGGGCAACTGCCCCAACGAGGAGGGCGGCGTGTGCCCGAGCAACCCCAACCAGCCGCCGGGAGCATTCCCCATCTCGACCATCCAGGTGCGACGCTAGTCCATCCCGCCCGACGCCGCACCCGCATCTCCACAACGATCAAGCGGCCCATCACATCAGCATCACACCCCGTGCCGCGCCCGTGCGTCCACAGGCATCGGCGGTCGACCCCCCCCTCACTTGGTGCGGTTGCGTCACGGCGGGCGGTGCGACCACGGGCTACAGTGGCCGCTGCTCCCAAGGCCGCGACGACTTTTACACCCAGTACGAGGCCCTTGCGACGGCAATCTGCGACGCCGTGGACGCCGAGGCGCCTGCGAAGGCAAAGGTGGCGCGGGGCGCTCTCCTCTTTGGCGCCTGAGGATTAGAGGCAGCGCCTGTCGCACATGTAGCAGCCCTGCTTGTGCTCAGCTGCTCACCACTGTAGATTACCATGTCGAATAGATTACTGTCGAATGACCGCGCGAAGAGAGCTGTTTGTTGTTTAGAAGAAGCGTGTCTTTTTGTTGTTTAGAAGTGTTTGTTGTTAGAAGTGTTTGTTGTTTAGAAGTGTGCCGCGGGTTTTTGGGGAGTGGGTCTGGTGGGGGCTGGGGGTCAGAGCTCAGACTCGCACTCGGTGTAGCTTTTTTTTTGAAATTTGGGCATGTAAGGATCAAGCCTCACAGTTTGCTTTGCGCATTAGGCATTGCGGGCCCGGGGACACCCGCCGGACTGGGGTCTTTCCCCTAAGCTATAGTCTCCCCTCTCGCAACACCACTTGGTGGATCTCTCTAGCGTTTTGGCTCACCTTTGATCCCGCCCCGGACCTGTTCGGCCCACTCCCTCCACGAACGGCTGGCGTGTACATCTTGAAACCACCTCGGGGCCCCGCCCCGCCGGCCAGCGGGCGAGACGCGTCTGCATCCTCTGGCACCGGAGAGACCGATCGAGAGCGGCCTCCCACTAGATGTTCCGACTCGCTCTCCTCCACCTCGCTCGCGCTCAGCTTGGGGAGGCCGGCGCGCCTAATGGGGTGGGGGGGTGGGGGGGTGGGTGGGGGTGGGGGGGGTGTCCTTCGCAGGAAGTGCCGCGGCGCCTCGCTCCATCGCATGGATGCCATGCATGCACCTCGGCTGTTCTCGGCTGCTCTGTCTAGAGTAGCCTCTGCTGTCTCTGCTCTCCTCTCGGCTAGTCTCGACGCCTCGCGGCGGTCCACTGGCTGTGCTTTGGGATTGCCCGCCCGCCCACGAACGGCCTCCGGGATTCAAACAAAAAATAGCCAAGGCCCTCTCGCAACCCCTCCGACCCCCTGGGACCCGTGGGCGTCGAAGAGGCGCTCTCGGGGGGCCGTTCTGAGTTCATACTACCTCGAAGTACAATATACTGCGTCAAAGCACCGGCCCTGAGTCCGCGCTTGCTTGTTGAGCACTTGAGCACTGGATAGGGTCGACTCCGCATGGTACGGGACCCCTCGATCGTCTCGCCCTCCCTCACTGGTGTGTTCATTGGGGGGGGTCATACTTGCTTGTTCTTTTGCTTGTTGATCCAGTCGGTACGCTCCTTGCGCGCCTGCTTGTTGATGTTGTCGGCGTCGCCCGCCACCGCCGCCTTGGAGATCTGCTGCGTGTGGTGGACGACGAGGAGGAGGCGCTCGCCGACGCCGCCCCGTACACCGTCCGGTCCGTGTTGGTGCCCGCCGCCTCCTTGGCGAACACGTGGAGGAACTGCTTGGTGGGCGGCGCAATGCCTCCCAAAGTTTCCACTAGCACCAGCCGCGTTATGGCTTTCTTGACCCAATTTGGTATCGTAGTAATTCGTCACGAGCCCGTATCCGTCTTGACCAACCCCTTTCCCTACGCGTGCGAAAGAAATAGCTGCGAACCCGTCCGGCACGAAAATCTTCTTTTTCGCACGACACCGGGGTGTCGCTGGTAAAATTCTTTTTCGGTCCTGCTCGACCGCGGCTCGGCGGTTCGGATGCGCGCTCGCACTCGGCAATCCTGGAGACGGCGCTCGTCGCAGCGCCGCTGCAGCGCCGCGCCCGCTGCCGCCGTCCAACTCGAGCCTCGCCGCCGCTGGATGGTCGTCCGCGACTTCATCTCCGAGGCGGAGCGGCTTGCGCTCCTCAAGAAGGCCAACACGCACCTGCAGCGAGGCGAGCTGCATCCAAACGCGTGCGGTCCCTGCCGCTACTACGCCAAGGCCGACGACGCGCCCGCACTCTACGTCGACGCGCTCCTCAAGGCGCTCACGCGCCGGGCTGAGCGTTGCCTCTGGCTTGAAGGCGTGCCTCCCGACCAGATCCTTGGCCGCGTCATCTCTCTCATCCAGCCGGGAGGCTTCATCCACCGGCACACCGACGCGTACGACCATGGCGTGCCGGGCAGCCGGCCGGAGCGACACCACCTCCGCTGCAATATTGTCGTGTCGCTGCAGCACCCCTCCGGCCGGCCCGTCATTGAGGGGGAGGCGCTCGAGGTGGGCGAGCGCGACATGTGGGTCTTCACCGCGTCGAGGCACATGCACCAAACGGCGCCGCTGCAGGGCGGAGACGCGCGCGTGGTCTACGGCTTCGGCTGGAGCGTGCCGAGCGACCACGCGCTGCGGCAGCCGCCCGAGCGCGCCGTGTGGGCCGAAGACTAGCACTACGAGGTGAGCAGGACCTCGACAGTTATAAGGTAAGGTAAGGTAAGGTAAACTTCTCCACACACACGAGGTGGTGGGGCAAGGGGGGGCAACCCTCGCATCTCCACGTATGACGACAGGAGCCCCACGGCATTCAAATAAGTGCAAGGGGCGCCCACAGTGCGCGTGGGTGAGCGGTGTGTGTGTGTGTGTGTGTGTGTGTGTGTGTGTGTGTGTGTGTGTGTGTGTGTGTGTGTGTGTGTGTGTGTGTGTGTGTGTGTGTGTGTGTGTGTGTGTGTGTGTGTGGACAGTTATCAGTTTTCAGTAGTGGGACAAAAACATACACGCACATGACGAAACGGCATCGATCACCTTGGTCCTTGACCGTTCACACCTCAAACAGGAAGCCGACCGGCGCACGCGGAGCTACGTAGCGACCCACCGCGAGACTTCTTGGTGCGCGAAACACTGGCGACGAACGCCTCCTCGCTCTCTAGCCACCGCCACCGCCATCGCCGCCGCCGCCGCCACCGCCACCGCCGCCGCCGCCGCCGCCCGGCATGGCGACCGCGGCCTTCAGCTTCTTGAGCGGCATCGGCTGGATCCACAGCCGTCCCGGGCCCGTCATCTCATTCAGGAAGAGGCCCTCGCCGCCGCAGCAGCACATGAGCAGGCCACCCGCGCGGCGGACTGACAGGTTGACCGAGGGCTCCCAGGCTAGGAGCGAGGAGGTGTCGATCACGTAGACCTCTCCTGGCGCGAGGCTCTTCTCAACGATCGCGCCGCCGCCGCAGAGGAAGGCCACGCCGTCGCCCGTCATGACATTGTAGAAAAGACCCTGCCCGCCGCAGCAAGCGGCGCCGACGGTGTCCGCGCGCTTGATGGAGAACTCGGTGGTGGTCGCGACAGAGGCGAACCACGCGCTCGCACTGAGGTGCAGCCCGTTGTAGTTGGACATGTCAAACGGGACAACCTTGGCTGGCCACGAGGGCGACGCTGCCATCGGGACGTCCTGGAACGTCTTGTTCTCAAACATCAGGCGAAACAACGAGCCGCCCGCGCAGCAGGCCCGCATGCACGCCTGGCCAAAGCCGCCGTCCGTGCCAATCTCGGGCATCAGTGACGCGTGCATGTGCACCATCTTGCCAGGTTCCATGCGCATCACCTGCCCCGGCCGCAGCATCACCTCCACCGACTGCGCCTCGTCGCCGAGGATCTGGTAGGTGACTCCGTTCTCGCTCACGGCAGTCTTTGGCTTGGTCGTGTAGACTAGACCCGAGAGGAGCGGGGTCCCGACCACGGGCTCGGCCGCATCGTCGGAGGGCAAGAGGGGCATCGCGGACAGGGCCATGTCGCCGAGGAACTGTGAGGCGGGGTGTCTTTTCTGGCCGCGTCAGAAAACCGCGCGGATTTCTCTCTATTTCTTTCTACTTTCTAAGCGACCAGCGTAACGGGAGCCGCCAGCGACCAGCACAAAGAAACGATATTAGCGGCGCCGCGGCTGCTCACTCTGTTTGTCCCTGGGGGGGTCGACGAGCCCCCCCCCCGGGGGGATCAGAAGTGATAAATTGATGCACTTGATGCAAGCAAGGAAGGAGCAAGGGTGCCATTGTGCGCTACTACCTACAAAAAAAGTTGTTTGTGTGTCTAAGTTGCCCAACAGCCCAAGTCAGACACTGAAGCCTCTGTTAGCGGAGCTAGATCTGACGGTGGTCGGTGGTGAACACGGCTCTCATTCGCTCCTCCGCGCCCGTCACCGCTCACGTAGCGCTCCACGTGCCGTCCCGGCCGCCCGCGCTTACTCGTAAAGAGACATCGTTTCATCCGACGTTTCGGGCACCACGCGGCTGCATGCAGGCGGTCCGTGAGCGCTTGACGGTGGCGGTCCGCGCCCGTTCGGTGAGCAACCCGGACCACATTCAGATCCGCCCCGCGAGCAGCACCGTCCGGGTGGTGCTGCCGCCAGAGCTCGCGAGCGCAAGGTCCGACAACCAGAGGTCGTCGTGGGAGTGGACATACGATCACGTCTTTGGTGGCGAGTCGAGCCAGGAGAAGATCTTTGACGAGACCGTCGCACCGGTGGTGGACGCCGTGCTCCGCGGCTACAATGGCACGGTGCTCTGCTTTGGACAGACGGGAAGCGGCAAGACGTACACGCACACTGGCTCAATGAGTCAGTTTGCACAGCGCGGCGTCGCGCCTCGCGCCATCGCCCGCGTGTTCAGCCACGCAGCTAGCCAGCCCCAGTACGAAACCTTGGTGACCGCCTCGTACCTTGAGATCTACAACGACACCCTCGTCGACTTGCTGACGGAGCTTCCGGGGCCGGGGCCCGAATCGCTCTCGCTGGTCGATTGCGAGTCCAGCACAACTGTGCGCGGCCTCCGCGCCGTGGCGGTCGCGGACGAGGCGGCGGCGCTCGAAGTGCTCTTTACCGGTGAAAGACGGCGCTCTGTCTCCTGCCACCAGCTCAACGACCGCTCCTCGAGAGGGCACGCAGTCTTCACGTTGTCGATGGAGTTCCGCTCGCGCGTCGAGTCGAGCGGGCGCGTCACGCGCGCAAAGTTGGTCTTCGTCGACCTGGCCGGCTCCGAACGGCTGAAGAAGACACAGACGTCCGGCTGCCTGCGCGGGGAGTCGGTCTACATCAACCAGTCCCTCACCCACCTCGACCAAGTGGTCGTGGCGGCGGCCGTCTCGCGGGGCCACGTGCCTTACCGGAGGTCAAAGCTCACCCACCTTCTCAGGGACGCCATCGGCGGCAACTCAAAGACGCTGCTGATTGCAAACATGAGCGGCCAGGCGGCGCATCTCGAGGAGACCATCGCGACGCTCGAATTCGCCGCCCGCGCGCGCGCAGTCGTCAACAGCGCCTCGGTCGTGGAGGAGCTCGGGCCGGCGGCGCTGTTGCAAAAGTACCAGCGGGAGGTGTCGGACCTCAAGCGGGAGCTCGCGATGCGCGACTCCCTCGCGGACCGGCCCCGCGCATCGCACACGCCGCTGACCGCCACGCAGCGCACCGAGATGGAAGAGCGCGTCCGCGCCTACCTGGAGGGCCGCGGAGAGCTGCAAGCAAAGTCCATCCGCGACTTTGACGAGATGCTCCTCGCCGCACGCTCGCTCTACGGCGCGAGCTCGAGCCGGCTGGAGGAGTTGCAGCAGAAGCTGGCCGCCGACGGGTCGGCAGACCACGCGCCAGCCTCGGCCGAGCCGCAGGTCGAAGATCGCGCGGGGGTCGGCACGGACGACGGCAAGTTGGAGGCAGGAGGCGGCATCTCGGTCGGGCTCGCCCAGGACGACGCTGTGCCAGCCGGCGGCATCGTCGGCGTCCCACGGGAAGCCTTTGTGGCCGCCGGGGAGGCGCGAGCGTCGCTAGCGACGGACTCGCGCGAGCTGCAGGCTGGGTGGCAAGAGGAGCCGCCCGCCTTTGATTCTTACAAGGAGGGGCCGGGCCTGCTGATCCAAGAGGCGCTTAGCGCGGCGAGGGAGGAGGTGCGCATCTTGAAGCGGCAGCACAGGTCCCTGGCGGCCGCAGTGAATGAGGCCAAGGCAGAGATCGATCGGTGCCGCGAGGGCAGCAAGGCGAAGGCGGAGGCGCGGACACGAGCAGGCGCGGCCTCGATCAGTGCAGATGGCACGCTCATAATCGACGAGGAGGAGTACGCCCTCCTCCAGCGCCTGCGCGAGGCGAAGGCGCGATACCGCGAACAGTACGAGAGGCTCACGGCGATGGCCACCCGCCTAAAGGCAAAGGCTGACGAGGAGACGGCTCTACGGCAGGAAGCGCTGGCGCGGTACGAGGGCTGGCGGGGCACGAGCTTGACCCAACCTCCAGAGACGGCGCCGGTGCCGGTCTCGAACGGTCTTGCAGCGGGCGACGAGGAGGCACTGTTCGAAAAACTGCAGCTGGAGCGGATCCTGGCGGAGGCTCCAGATTCGCTCGCTTTTGTGAGGGCGTCCAGAGCGGCGTCGTTGTCGCGGCCGGCGACGCGTGGCGGGGCCAGGCGATAGGGGGGTTGGATTAGCGTGGGGACCTGCGCGTCTGAGGTGTAAACACACTGTGCACATGACGACGCGGCTGCTTTTTTTCTTCTCGGCGGATTTACTCCGGTGCGCGCTCCGCGCGGTGGCCGGGGGGGGCGCGGGACCGCCAAGTTCGCGCCCGTGTTCCCATGTCGCATAAATATATGTGAGCCCGGCATGGGGGGAACATCTCCCACTACCCACTTTTCCTACTTTCTACGCTACTACAAGTATTAAAATGTGCATGACTTTTAACATCTGCGGGTGAGGGCGCCCGAGCCCCGCTGCTATTCACTCAGCACATGTGCTTGACCGCTGCGGCGGCCCGGCGGTGCCGGTTCGCGGCGCGCAGGCGGCGGCGCGGCGGCCATGCCGGCCCGCGCCGCCCTCGCGGGCACGGGGGCGCGCTCCGCACGCTGCCCGAAGGCCCCGATACCCTTAAGCCCAGTGTCACTGTGATGTGTGTGCAGTAGTGTGGGCGGGGTGCGTGTGTGTGTGAGTGTGTGTGAAGATGTGAAGTGACAAGAGTGTATCGTGTTATGTCACCTTTTACCTTTTTTCCACTATAGAGGGTAGAGCAGCCCAGGCGGGCCAGACGACAGAGAGGCGGCGCCGCTCGGAGCTAAGCAGACCGGTGTACATGGACGCGGCGGTGGCTCAATCGCTCTGAGCGCACACAGCGGCGCCAGTGCCGCGCCCCCGTGAACTGCACGGTGCGCAGCCGCGGAGCTACGGCCCCTTGCGGTAGAAGAAGACCTCCTGCTGCTTAAAGTACCTGCGGTCCTCCTCGTCCACCAGAACCAGATTGAGGAAGTAGCGCACCGAGAATTTGTTGTTGACGTTGCGGAACGTGGGCGTCAGCTGGTCGAAGCCGGAAAGAAAGAGGCGGATCGGGATCGCCTCGCCGCGCACAGGTGCGCCGTCCATGATCTCATACCTGCAACGGGGCGCCAGACGCCAGTTGGGCACCAGAGGACGGAGGACCGAGGACGGAGGAGGAGGAGCGAGGCGCGAGGCGCGAGGCGGGCGCGGCACTTTGCGACGGTGTCCGACTCGGTGTAGGCGTTCGCGCCGACGCCCGACGACTCGCGCTTGATGATGGCGAGCTCCATGTGCCTGCAGCATCAAGGCATCCGTCAGCATGAAGGCGTCCGTCCGCCCCCTGGCGACTTTGGGCGCTGCGGCGGCGGCGGCGGCGGCGGCGGCGGCGACGGCGACGGCACGCGCGCGCGCGTGGCTGCCAGGCCAATCCGTGCGAGAGGAAGTGCGTCGGAAGTGTCTCGGAGGTGTCCGTCGGGAGGGTGCGTGGCAGCACTTGATCCGTATCCGCACGAGGAGGAAGAAGATTTTGCCGAGGACGACCTCGCGCAAGTGGTAGCGGGACTTGTTGTACTCAAACTCAATGTGCAGGCAGTCCTCAATCCCAACCTGCTCCAGGTCCAATTGTAACTGAGGAGAGATGAAAGCCCGCGCCCGGCCCGCGAGCCACGGGGATCGGCGGCGGCACGTGCTGCCGAGGCTGGGTGCGAGGCGCGCGAGCGACTCGCGGGCGCGCCTCCATCTTGATGGCGTTGTTGCTCTCCGACTCGTCCACGGGCGTGGTCGTGTACACGCGGAACGTCTCCTCGTGCACCGCCTTTGCGCCATACGCCTTAGCGACGGTCAGCCGCAAAAAGTAGCGCAGCCGCATGTGGATGCCGTCGTACGACTCGTACCTGCGCGGCGGGTGGTGGTGCGGAGCGGGTGGAGTGGGTGCGGCAGCCTCCGGGGCGGCGGGGCACGGGGCGGGAGAGGGTTTGCGGGCGACGCGTCGCGGCGGCGGCGGATCCTCACGGCTTCTCGACGTCGGCAAACTCAAACGGGAACTCGGCCCGCCCCAGTAACTCGCCCGGCTCCGCCTGTGGACCCGGCGGAGTACGCGCCCATCGGCGCACGGACGCGGCGCGGGGCGGCGACTGGGCGGCGGTGGCAGCAGCAGCACGGGCAGAGGCACACGCGAGGCGCGCACCAGCTCCCTCACGAGCGAGGTGAACTCGGTGACCGTGCGGTCGAGCACCGACTCGATCTGGCCGATGAGCTCGAGGCGGATGCCCTGGTGCTCGATGCGCCGACCGCTCGGCGAGTCGACGTGCACGGTGCCGGAGATGGTGTCCTCCGGTCCAAACAGCAGCTGCTCTGCGTCGCGCTCGCCCACCCGCACCGTGACGGAGCGGCGAGAGTCGGCGTCGCCAAACCGCACCCCCATCTTGATACTCTCGCCGAAAAGCTCGGCAGCGCCCTTTCTGAGCGCCTTCATGCTGCACAGTGCCACCGACGCCGAGTCGGGCAAGCAAAGGAGAAACGTGTCGGGCCCTGAGTGACGATGTCGTGAGAGTGTACGTCGTGCTTGTGTCTGGTGTTTACTAGCTCCGAGTAGAGGGGGCGTTCCGCCGCTAGGGGACACCCAAAGCGCAGAACTAACCCTCGGAGACCCGTGTTGACTTTACGGCCCTCTCCCTGCGAACGCGCACCCCCCTTAGCTAGGGGTCAGGGCTCTCTAGCCCGTAGCCCGATACCGATCATCCGGCTCGCTGGGTGCGCTTCTCAGCTCCCCGGCCCTGGATGTGAGGTTAATGACTGCACTCCAAGTGCTCCAAGTGCCTCGCGGCGCTCTAGCCCGCTCCCCGCCGGCAGCGCGAGCTGCCGGCCACATTGAGCGGTTCGTCCGCGTCGCGCACTCGTCCCAACCGGGGGCCGCTGACTCGTTCTGCGCGCCAACGGCTGGTGACGCTGTGTTGCCCTTGAGCTAGTCCTTCCCCGGTCGCCTAGCCTCTGCGCTGTCTGGCGGACGCCTGTATGCCATGCGCGCGGACCACGCTTGCGTGGATTTGTGGCTGGCAGGCTGACCCGTGTGCGGGGTAACCCGCGCGCGGGGAAGCTTCACGGGTTCGAGTCGTCAAACATTGAGCAGCGGAGGTGTGCCGAGGGGGACCGGGAGGCGGTAAGTCGTCGTCGCCCGGCGCTGCTTGCAGCACCATGACGAGGGCGCTAAGAGGTTCCTCTTTTCCGCGCCCCCCCCGCAAGGCGCGCGATACACCCGTCCCCGACCATCCCGCCCGCCCGATGCTGCTTCTTAGCTCCCTGGCCCTGGGTGTGAGGCCACGAGTAATGACTGCACTCCAAGTGCTCCAAGATCATGGGGATGTGTGTCCTGTGTGCTTAGGGGACCCCTAGGGTTCTGAGGGCCGGATTTTTTTAAGACCTTTTAAGAAACGAGGAGGTTTGGGGGCTTAACTTGCCATTTAAGAGATTGCAGGCACGGGGGGTCCCTCTTTTAAGACCGTTTAAGAAAATCGGCCTCGCCGGCATGCGTCGCTGGGTTCCGCGCCGTTTTCTCCAATACTGCCGTTATTAGGCACAAACCCGCCTCTGAAGACACATCTGTAAGTCTGGTGCACTGGCAGGAGCCATACTCGCATAGGGGACGCGTGCTAGCTGACTGTAGCCAGCTCCCTGGCCTCCGGCGTCTACCGGGAGCCTCCCGGACCATCGACCTCGGGAGCTCTCCCGCACCGTTTAAGCGTTTAAGACCGTTTAAGGAATTGGCGGCCCAGCAGCTCTTAAAACTTGCCATGGCAAGTTTTAAGCCGTTTAAGCCGCAGGCGCTCCAGGGCCCACCCTTTTAAGCCTTGGGGTCCCCTAAGCCTGTGTGTGCTATGCTGCGTGCTTGCTGGCTAGCTGGGTGTGTGTGTGTGTGTGTGTGTGTCGCTCCATCCAGCGAGCGAGCGAGCGTGCCGTCATCTCCTCTGTCCCGCGTCCTCACCCATACCGCGCTGGTGTCCAGTCCGAGCCCGGTTCTTGAGCACTTGAGCACTGGATAGGGTCGATTCCTGAGCCCTGGCTGTTAGGCTGTCAGGTGCTGTCAGGTGATCTGTCGGGCTGTCGGGCACTGTCAGGCACTGTCAGGTGCCTCTGTCAGACCAGCTGTCAGGTACTGTCAGTGCTGTCGGGTGCTGTCGGGTGCGTGTCTGACATCAGAGGTGCTCTGTAGCTGTCGGGTGCTGTCGGAGCTGTCGGGTGTTGCTGTCAGACGCTGTCGGAGCTGTCAGTTCCCGCTGGGCGGCCGGACAAAGATGGTGTGCGCCGAGGAGGCGGTCTTCTCCGGCAACGCCAAGGTGTGAAACGACCAGGCCGGGACGGTTCTTGATGACGAGCTGCATGTGCTCCATCTGCAGCGACAGCCGGCAGAGCGACCGTTCGAGGCGCTCGAGGTCGGCGACGAGGCCGGCGTCGCGGAGATCGCGAATGTGCATGTCGCGCTTTTCCCTGTGCTGGAAGTCGATCTTTTGCTCCAGGTTCCGAATCTGAAGCTGCAAAGCCTGCAGGTCGGCGGAGGCTGCGCCATGCTGGACCAACTGCCGGAGTTGGACGCAAGAAGAAAACGCGGCACTTCCTCCCTTGGCGCTTGGGTTATCGGCTCCTACAATGGGGCCTTTTCATCGCAGCGCAAATCGATCGCAGCGAACTCGCCGTCTGAGCCTAGCGCAGCGCGAACTCGCTCTGAGCCTAGCGCAGCGCCTCGGAAAACACCATTTCCGCCAACAAGCCATCCGCGCCCCCACCTGAGGGAGGGTGTAGAGGATGTAGAGTGTAGAGCGCTGTAGAGCTGTAGAGATGTAGAGCGCTCTGGAGCGCTGTAGAGCTGTAGATCTCTACATCCGGCGCGGGACGGACTGCCTGCGTTGTTGAGCGCATGTAGAGCGCATGTAGAGCGCGATTTACTTAGTGATTTCACTGTCAGAGGCTTTGCGTCACAAGAGTGCACACGAACTTGTCGA